TTGAATGTCTGAAGCAACGAGGTTTTATGGACAAGAGAAACAGTGGACCAAAACAGAGACCAAGATGGTTTTCATTGAATCAAATGACACTACAAGTAACAAAAAGAGATTCATCATCTGGAAGGGAAACCTTGCTATGGAAACCTACCTGGCATAAGAGGAAAGCTAGAATAAGATTGAAAAATGAAATTTAAAACTTCATAAATTGGATTAAAGGCAATCTAGAACTATGGACAAATGTAAGGACTAAGATTACGAGCTTGAAGTAAAGAGACGTTTCAGATTTGGACTGAATTAATAATTAATTGAATGTTAATTAAATAAAATGACTTGTTTGTTTTATAACATGGATGTTTAGCTATGATAATTAACTGGATGAAATCTGAATTCTGTTCAATGGATTGAAATGAGTTAAGGTCTGATACTAGTCTGTCAGCTCAAAGAGATTGATTAATTGATGGATTAGATATGTATAGAATAGATTGATAAATACATGCATTTAGATGTGTCTAGGATAGATCAATATTTTTGTTTAAAAATGAGATATTTTTATATAATGGATTAAAGGCAATCTAGAATATTAAGAATGTTTTTTTAGAATGTTAGGTTTATTTCTATGAAAATTATTATATAATGGAATGAAGAAAATTGAACAGATGTTTTTGATTTGAATTGAATTATTAATCAATTGAAATTTAATAAGATGATATGATTATTTGATGATATGGATGTTATCAGCTATGATAATTAACTGGATGAGATTTGAATTTTGTTTAATGGATTGATATGATTTAAGGTCTGATATTATCTTCTTAGCTTAAAGAGATTGATTAATTGATGGATTAGATAGGTATAGGATAAATTAATATTTTACTTTAAATAGGGGAGATTAGTGGAAGAAGAAATAAATAAGATTTTGAAAAAATTAAGAAAGTAGAACATACTTGGAAGGGATATTTGAATTGAAAATGTCTTTATTTAAAGTTAATTTGATTATGGTATTGTAAATTAATGAAGCTTAAAACAGGTTCAGGTTGAATAAACTTAAGCTAGAGCTGGATATTTTAAATATACTATGCTATTTGAGGGAAAAAGAGAGGGAATACTTGATGTATTGATTGTACTATGTATATATGTTTTGTTTTAGGATATTTGATTACCCCAGCACCACGGTGTGTCCTGAATACTTTGTTTTAAGAAATTAAAAAACCAACAAAATTTGTTTAAAAAAACAACAACATTGAAGTTAGCTCCCATAAAAGATATATAATTCTGCAGATTCATTTTTGGAAAAACTCTGCCTCCCCACTGCCCAAGATATATTCTATCACAGCAGGTAGACTACAGCAAAGTTCTCTTTCTCCCAATCTCCTTCCTATGTTTTGCAACAAATATTTTGCTTTGTCCTCTGGAATTCCCAATCAGGGGGAGATCAGCAGATTGAGAACAGTTGCACTATTTTGTTTCCATCCAGTTTTGCAAAACAGGGTGATTTGTGGAATTCAAAGCAGAACATCTAGTATGTTTCCTTTTGCAATAAAGATTACTCTAAGTCAACAGCTCCCAACCTTTTCTATACACCACACCCCTAGAACGCTTCTGATATATTCTTGCACCCCTTACAAAAGTTTGAAATAACGGCAACTATAATTTTGAAAACCTAAGTTTTTGCACCCCCTGGAACATCGTCTCACATCTCCAGTTGGGAATCCCTGCTCTAAGGCAGGCATGTCAAAATGCTAGCCCGCGGGCCGGATGTGTCACACCAAAACCGCGCCCACCCCATTGTCAGCAATGGGAGAAAAGTTGTGACATGCCTGCTCTAAGGTATTCACATTCAACTCTACAGGCTTCATGGCTCTCTAACTTTCATTTCCTACTCTTCCATGATTTTTTAATACAATCAAAAATGTGATGGGAAGAGGAGGCAGTTGTAGGTTTCTTCTGTGTTTTACATATTTCACTCATGTTAAGGATCACGTTACAGATTTGGGTCTAAAAACAGCCTTTACCAATCTAACTTCCAGATATTTTGATTGCAGTTCCTGCCATCTCAGCCAGCAATATTGCCCTGGGGAAGACGGGATTGTAATCCAGTGCATTTAGATGCACCTGCATAGAGAAGATTGTAGCATTTTATAACCTCAATGGGGTCAATAGGAGATACACTTGATAGTGCCTTATCAGCAGTTGTAGGCAGCAGAAAATGTCATAATTATGCCAGTCAACAGGCAAACATTTTCATTGATTTATCCAAATATGCCAGATGCCTTTGATGTACTTTTCAAAGTAAAATGTATCAGTTAAGTGTAGTATTTCTTTTAACAATTGATTAACATTGCATGGCATTTTTACTTCCATCCCAACTTTGAAAAATTAAACTATCCCTGTGAATTGAGGATAAGTTTAATCATAAACACAGCATAAGAATAAAAATTAAATATTATTTCTTCTCCATTTTGCTGATCAGTTAACAAATGTAATTAGGAAACACAGTGGAGGACTTTAGCTACCCTAGCATCAAACTCTGCTCCAAGTTGGGAGATAAAGTTTCCTGACCAACCTAGCTGACAACTTGGTCATCCAAAAGGTAGAGGAAGGGACTAAAGGGACAGCTCTAGTGGATCTAATTCTTACTAACAGAGAAGAAATAATAGAGGGGGGTTGAAGTTGCAGGAATCTTGGGGGAGAGTGACCGTGTCATATTAGAATTCAATATAGTGCAGACACAAGCAATAGAACATAATGAAACCAGTGTCTTAGACTTTAAAAGAGTGATTTCAACAAACCTAGAGAGGACTTGAGAAGAATTCCATTGGGGAAAATTATAAAGGAGAAAACAACTCAAGAAGCTTGGGAAACTCTGAAAAATATAATTTTAAAAGATCAGTCCAACATAATACTTCTGCAAAAGAAAAATAAGAAATCCAAGAAGAAACAAGCATGACTGCACAAAGAAATCTCTGATACACTGATAGACAAAAAGGATAAGTATAAAAAATGGAAAGATGAACATATAACTAAGGCAGAATATCAGCTTATGGTCCAAACCTGCAAAAGATGAAGCTAAGCCTCAGAATGAAGTAAGACTTGTAACAAATGCACAAAAATAATAATAAAAAAATTCTTTCAAAATATAAAAAACAAGGAAAAAGTCAAAGAAACAATCGTTCCACTAACAGGAGAAGATGGCAAGGAAGTAATGGGCAGCAGGGAGAAAGCAGAGTTACTAAATTCTTTCTTTGCATCTGTCTTCACACACAAAAAAAAAAATCGGCCAGTCTACCCAAAAAAAAACTATAAAAGATAGACTAGAAATTCAAATTAAAATAGGCAAGAAAACACCTGTCCACTCAAGATGAGTTGGAGAACACCTGTAAGAGAACACCTGTCCATTCTAGATGAATTCCAATCACCAGGACTACCAGAATTACATCCCAGAGTTCAGAAGGAGCTGGCAATGTGATCTCAGAACCATTGAACCATATCTTTCAAAGATCCTGGAGGAACTATCAAATTGGACTGGAAAAGAGCTGATGTGGTTCCCATCTTCAAAAAAGGGTAAAAACAGTCCGGGGAAACTACATATCAATCAGCCTGACATCAATACCTGGGAAAATCCTGGAAAAAATAATAAAACAGATCTGTGAACACCTAGAAACAAGCAAAGTTACAACCAGAAGCCAACATAGGTTTGTTAAAAACAGTTCAAGCCAAACAAATCTTATCTCATTCTTTGACAAAGTAACTAAATTAGTGGATTAACAAAATGCTGTGGACATAGTATACTTGCATTTCAGTAAGGCATTTGACAATGTAGACCACAAGCTCTTTCTTAGTAAGCTAGAAAAATGTGACAGCATTACCACCAAATGGAGCTGTAACTGGCTGACAAGCCACACTCAACAAGTAGTCAATGGAACTACATCTACATGAAGGGAAGTAAACAGTGGGTTACCACAAGGTTCGGTCTTAGGCCTCAAGGGTCCTGTAACTGGAACAAAAAGAAATTGTTTAGCCTAACTATTGCTATCTCGCTTTTGTAATCAGGGTTTGTGTCAGGGACAAATTTCATGCATGTGTGGGAAACATGTACATGGATGGGAAGTACTGAAGGAGGAAATAAGGGAGTGTACAGGAATGATTGATATAATGTAATAACTCTGTTGTCTGATTTTCATTGGCTAACAAAGTTTATAAAGCAATGCTACTAACTTCCTAAGGCAGTGGTTCTCAACCTGTGGGTCGGGACCCCATTTGGGGTCGAACGACCATTTCACGGGGTCGCCAAACAACGCAGTCCGCCATTTTTTTCCTCTTTTCCTTAGCTGTGCTACTCCCTTTTATTCTATTGGCTTTTGAAAGCCAATAGAATAGACGCTCTTGAATAGAGTCTAATTCTATTGGCTTTCAAAAGCCAATAGGAACTGTCCAGGCTGTCTCTGCCCTGCTGAGCCCGCCAAAAGTCCCATTCTGCAAACAGTGCTGCACCAGTTGAGTAGTCCTCGACTTACGACCAGTTGAGTAGTCCTCGACTTACGACTGGTTGGGGGTCACGGCATTAAAAAGGTTGAGAACCACTGTCCTAAGGTGTGGCACTTCTGAACACAACACTGCCAGTGTTCAGATTGTGTTCCCACCCAGGACTTATTTTGATCGAAAATAAAGTGCTGTATCTTTTAAGAAGCCTCTGCTTGAGTTTTTATGATTGGATTTTTTTATGATTTCTTAAGTTTTGCCAAGGGCCAGTGATCTTACATATTTGGCGCCCGAACAGGGACTTGAAGATTTTTTTCTTCAAGGTGGTTCCTGCATTAGGACCCCCTGTGAATGAGTCCTTCACAATCTTCAGCTATGACATCCAGGAAAACTGGTGCAGGTCAGCTATAAAATCAAGAGCACTCCCAGATCCTTCGTATCTGGTGACTTTTGAACTGGCTAGTTGCCAGCAGACCTGACATTCTCTAGTTCAGGGGTAGGCAACCTTGGCTCTTTTATGATTCGTGGACTTCAACTCCCAGATGGCTGGCTCAGGAATTATGGAAGTTGAAGTCCATGAGTCATAAAAGAGCCAAGGTTGCTTACCCCTGGTCTAGATCCAGAGGATAGGAGGAAACAAGAATACAGGAGGAATTTGGTAAGTAGAAACAAACATTCCGGAATGAGGAGGAGGTTGAGGGAGGGAGGGAGTGTGTGTGCATATGTTGAAATGCCTGGAATGCAAGGATTTAGTTGCCTGCAATGTGATAGAAATGGGTAACTGTTAAGGAAACCCCCTGTAGGGATTCTCACATAAGAGCGGGCGTGACCGGCCCCCCGAACTGAAGGAAAGGTCTGAGAAAATTTCTTGGGAATCACTCATTTGCACTGAGCAAATGAACTGGTATTTAGGGAAGAGGAGGAACCATGTTTTCAGTAGGCTGCGTGTTAGCCCATTGGAAAACACTGAAAGCACTGAAATTGTAGCAGTAAAAATAATCTTCAAGAAAGCATAGAAAAGCTTTGTGCATCTCTGGTCAGCTTATCTTTTTAACAACTTCAGCCATGGAAGAAAAGAAAAGAAAAATCAAAGAACCGTTTGTAAGGTTTTTTCCCCCTCTAATCTGGCTCTTTGGACAGACATTTTTTTTCTGTTAGACAATGGTGCCATCTACTGTTCTCAGAAACCATCCCTATTGTTGGACAGGAAGAGAGGAGGCTGCTCTCTGCAGTTTTCCCCTCCCTGTTCAGGCTGGCAAAGGGCATCAAATTCAACATTTCTTTTTTGGGATCCTTCTACAGTGTCCTTTGAATTTGCTAAATTAAAAAGTGAGGCCTGCTTTGGCCTCAAATCCCAAATTGATGTGTTTCTTAAAAATGACCTTACAGGCCCACTACTTTTTAATATCTTCATAAACAATTTAAATGAGGGAATAGAAGTGGAACTCATCAAATTTTCAAACACAAAGCTGGCAGGAATAACCAATACCTCAGAAGATAGGGCTCAAGATCCAGATGGATCTCGACAAATTTGAACACTGGCCACAACTAACAAAATGAAATATGATGTTGAGAAAAGTAAGGTTCTACACTTAGGCAAGAAAAACCAAATGTACAGGTATAAATTAGGTGAAATTTGGCTCACTCTAAGTAACTATAAAAGGGATCATGGAGTCCTAATGGGTAATCACTTAAATATGAGCCAGCAGTGTGCTGCAGCCACCAAAAAAGCCAATGCCATCCTAGGCTGCATTAACAGAGGGCTAGAATCAAGATCACATGAAGTGTTACTACTGCTTTATAGGGGGTTTATAAGACCACACTTGGAGTACTGCATACAGTTTCGATTGCCACAGTATAAAAAAGATGATGAGACCCTGGAAAGAGTGCAGAGAACAGCAACAAAGATGATTAGAGGGTTGAAGGCTAAAACATAAAGAATGGTTGCAGGAATTGGGCATCTCTAGTCCAGCACTATAGGACTAGGGGCCATATGATAGCAGTGTTCCAATATTTGATGGGCTTCCACAAAGAAGAGGAGTCAACCTATTTTCCAAAGCACCAGAAGGAAAGACAAGAAGCAATGGATAGAAACTAACCAAGGGGAGAAGCAACCTAGAACTAAGGAGAAATTTGCTGATAGTGAGAACAGTAAACTAGTGGAATGGCTTGCCTTCAGAGGTTGTTGGTGATCCCATCACCAGAGACTTTTAAAAAGATACTGGGCAGTGATTTGTCTGAAATGGTATAGGATCTCTTGCTTGACCAGGGGGTTGGAATACACAAGATCTCCAAGGTTCCTTCCAACTCTGTTACTTTGTTCTGTTTTATTCTGTTCTGTTTTGTTTTATTGTGTTCCAGTTCTATTATCCAAGAAAAACAATTGAGATTGAAGATACTCATTTTTGTTTCACTGTGCTTTATTTTTAAATGTTTGGGGTTCTGATTGCAAATCCCCTATGTAATGCGTATTCCGGCCCTAAGTAATAAACGATTGGCATCTTTTGCTGGGGTTTGGAGGAGAGGCATTGCCTCATCTGGATTGTGTCTAAGGTTATTTGAAAATATAGAAGGATCTTGATTTACAACTGCTGTTTCCTGCCTCTCAAAAGTGGGAGGGTGGAGACATATATTAAATTCAAGAGCTATGCATTATTTGTGAACAAGATCTTTCCCTGAAGGACAGTGGTATCTGTCACACCATATTGCCGTCCCTGGTTCCTGACACTAATTTTGTTATACTGAATATACAACCTCAATAAAGTGTCCTTTCAATACAGTTATTAAATGACTGTCCAGTACAAGATACACACTCCATTCCCTTACCTTCCCCCAACAGCTTTGCCAGAGCCTTCATCAAGCTCTTTGAAAGGTCTTCTCAATTACTCTATGGAAGGGCGTGGACATGTATTGGACAAATGACTCCAATTTATAGATACCCTACAGGGAATCTCTGATGGTATCAGCTCAAAGTACTTGGCACTAATTGCATTGCATCCATTAACTTGTTGTATTACCTTGGACACACAGGGTTATAAAACCACCATGTCAACTCCAAAACAGTAGGTGAGCTGAATGCAGCTAAGTATCTCCAAAGCCATGAATGCCATTGGTGTTGCAGCTATGGCTGAAAATTACCAGAAATTCAACCCCATGGCTTACTTACAGAACAACTACAGGCCACCACGTGCCAATTTCACTAGTGAGGATTTTGTGGTGCCCTGGAAGCTCCGATGCCTGGCAGATGCCTTTGCCACAGGTAAGGTATTACCAAGGTTTCCACTGGTTGGAAGGGATTCCTGATATTTAACATTATTTTTCTTTCTCTGGCTGGAACACTCTGTGACCTTCCCCCCCCAGATTATTTCCCCTCATGTTAATAGAGTAATTGTTAATAATTTTTCAAAATGCTAACTTTGGTAATCTAGAACAAAACAAAGAACAGAATGAGAATAGAACAGAACAGAACAGAATATAATAGAATATAATTCTTTATTGCCAAGTATGATGGGACACACAAGGAATTTGTCTCCGGTGCATAAGCTCTCAGGGTACATGCATACAACAATAAAGTTATAAGTCATAGATGATACAAACAATAAATGATAAATTCATAAGATAACAATAGGAAAAGATAGTAGAAAGTGAGAAGATGAGAAATGAGAAGATGAGAAAGATGATAATAGCAACACAGTCTACTTACCACATGGATAAATATCTTAGGCCGAAGACAGTGCTTTGGGAAGTAAGTATTCAGCAGTGATGGCACAGGGGAAGGAACTACCTTTGAATCTAGTTGTTTTGGCATGCAATGGTCTATAGCAGAGGCCCCCAACCTTTTAGGCACCAGGGACTGGTTCCGTGGACAGAAGTTTTTCCACAAACTGGGGGGGGGGGGATCTGTGTGCTGTTTGCATCCCACTAATGGGGCTTTGCTTGTTTGTGCGGACCAGTTGCTGGCATGCCGCGGCCCAGTATCAGTCCACAGATTGGGGGTTGGGGACCCCTGCTCTGTAGCAGTGTCCTGAGGGGAGAATTTAAAACAGACCTCAATGGAAGGCAGGACAGCTGCAATTATTTTCCTGCAGTCCTAACTATCCATTAAAGTTTGTACCTATCCTGTTTGATTGCTGTACCAAACCAGACGGTTATTGAGGTACAAACGTCAGACTCAATAATTCCTCTGTAGAACTGTATCAGCAGATCCTTGGGCAATTTGGGCTTTCTAAGTTGATGCAGGAAGAATTTTTTTTGTACCTTTTTAATGATGGTTCTAACGTTAGGTGTCCATTTCAAATCTGGGAGATAATAGAACTCAGAAATGTGAAGGTCTCTATTGCTGATACTGTGTTATCTAATAGTGTAGGAGGTAGTAGAATAGGAGAGTTTCTTCTAAAATCTACTATCGTCTCTATAGTTTTAAGAGTGTTCAGCTCCAGTTCAGTTCGGGCTGCACCACAGGGCCAGTTGATCTACTACTTTTCTATATGCAGACTCATCATACAGATGAGTCTGCATATAGAGATACAAACTGTTCTATCTGTTGTATCATCTGCAAATTTCAGTATTTTAACAGAAGGATCCTTCAAGATGCAGTCTTTGATATATAGAGAGAACAATAATGGAGAGAGCACACAGCCCTGGAGGGGGGCTCCTATACTAATTGAATGGGCACTTGAAGTGATTTTTCCTAGCTTAACCTGCTGCTTCCTATTCATTGGAAAGCTTTTATCCCATCTATAAGTATGATCAGGCACAGCTAGTTGAGTCAGTTTAGAGACGAGTATTTCTGGAATGATGGTGGAATGCTGAGCTGGTTTACAAAAAGGACCCTTACGTAGTTCTTTGGGGATTCTAGATGTTGTAAGATGTAGTGCAAAGTCATATTGACAGCATCATCTGCCGATCTATTTGCACGGAAGGCAAATTGCAAGGGGCCTAGCAGCAGATCTGTGATGGCTTTCAGGTAGGCCAGCACTAACCTTTCCGAGGTTTTCATAATAGCAAAACAATTTAGCTCTTTCAAAATTAAGACTTTTAAATCTCAAAAATCTGAGCCAAAAGACTAGCTTTCAAGAACTGTCTTTCTCTTGCAGAGTTGTTATAATGTTATTATGAAGTTAGGGGAAAGGAGAGGGTTTGAAAATACCTGCTTCTGAGTTTTGAAATAACTGGAAAAATTTGCCAGAATGAACTCATGGTAAAACTGATCAAGGCATCTTTTAATTATCATCATCATCATCTCCATCATCATCTCCATCTCCATCTGCCTGGTTTAGTGCATTTGAAGAGTAGAGGCTCTTCCCCAGCAATGTCTAAAATGGCCATCTGAGCTAACAATCATTGTCCATCCTATCTTGGATATTCCCCAAGGAAGAGCAAATACCAGAGTTTTGGTTTCAACCAGCATTCATCCCATTTATGAATCTGCAGAAAGTGAAACCCCAAAACTTGTTCCCATCAGATTTGGTGGCAATCTTTTTTATTTAAATGCTTATTTGCTAAATGTGTGAGATTTTAATTTTTGAAACTTGGGGCAGGAATCAACCAGGTTGAAACAAAGCACTTATCTAGCAGTCATTTATTATGGGAGTCAGTTTCACAAGACAAATTATCTTATTTTCACATTAACACTTAGTTCAACTGGAATACCTGTTGTGACAATATACTTTATTCTTGACAAAATGTTGTTAACTAACTGAAGGGCTATCAAAGAAAGATGCAAATGTCCAAGCACCCTGCGCCTGAAGATTAAGAAATCTGCATCTAATGTAAGAATTAAGAATGATATGAAAGAAGAACAGGGGTCCTAAAGTGACCCCTCAATATTTGTATAGTGGAGCATGCCTGGTCTTTCTGCAAATATGTTGTATTTCTTTTCAAATCTAGTAAAGATTTCTAAATGTTCGTGTATGTTTATAAATAAAAAATGCAGATATGAAGCAGTCTTGCCCACTGTCTTTGATGAATTATTGACTTCTTTGATAGAAGAAAGATAATAGACAAGTTGCTGTTAAATGAATGCTGCGGGACAGCACAGATAATAAGTCTTATACTAACCCAGGGGTAGGCAACCTTGGCTCTTTTATGATTCGTGGACTTCAACTCCCAGAATTCCTGAGCCAGCCATGAGTCATAAAAGAGCCAAGGTTGCCTACCCCTGTACTAACCCCTATTCCTGTTATATTGTTTTAATAATGCTTAAACTTGGTAGGTTGACAATCATAGAATAATTCTTTGCCTACAAAAATTTTCAGGAAAGTTTGCCTGCCTCCTGGAATGTCAAATGGGCTAATGCTCTATTTCTGCTTAATTTCTTACAATTACAACATCTGAGCAAGGCACAAAGCTAAAGAGGAAACTCAAAATGAAACAGAATAGCAGCTACTTTTTATTATTATATATTATTCCCTAGACTAGAGAGCCAATTCCCTGCTTTCCTTCCATACACACACTTAGGATTCTATAGTGCTATGATGAAAAACAAAAATCATTTTTTGGATGACCCTTTGGGATCAATGGGACTAAGTATGACAGAGGACTCTCAGTGTATATCCAAGCTCCACATTCCAATGGCTTCTCTTCCTCTTCCTCTTCCTCCAGTTCCACTTTACTCTCACTAGTTAGCCTAGGATTTTATATTTAAATAAACATTTCTGGGTTTTGCAAAACTGTTTAAAATGAAGCATATCTTGGTTCCCCCCCCCCTTTTTTAAATCCTTTGCAGGAAAGATCACCGGCCACACTCTGATTGATATTGGCACAGGCCCCACCATCTACCAACTCCTCAGTGCCTGTGACTACTTTGAGGAGATTGTAGCCACTGACTTCCTGGAAGTGAACCGGGCTTTGATTCACAACTGGGTGCACAATGAAGACAAAGATGGCTTTGACTGGTCCCCTTATATCCAGCATGTTTGTAAAATTGAGGGCAAAGGGTAAGTAACTGAGAAGGGACTTTGCTTTTGGATTTAGGGAAAAGCCATATATATTGTTGGAATTTATATCCACTTGAAAAATGGTTAGGAGGGTCTCAACGTGATTGGTGGGAAAAGAAAGGGAAGATTACATTGTACCTGGAATTATGCTGCCTGAGCCAGGAGCCAGGCTGATCTTTATGTCATCTTGTGTAGTAGTGATTTGACACATTACTCCATTTCTATATTAGAATTAAATTTTCCATGTCTCATACCAGCCATAAATTTGCTCCCTTTCCCCCTTTCCCCCCTGATGACTATAGGGAGCTGTGGAAGGAGAAAGAGCAAAAGCTGAAAAAGAAGCTGAAAAAGATCCTTCCCGTTGACATCCACCAGCTGAACCCACTGGGTTCTTTCCTCAGCCAGCCAGCTGATGCTTTGGTTTCTACTTTTTGCCTAGAGGCGGCCAGCCCCGACCGCCCAAGCTTTGATAAAGCTTTTCAGAATGTCACCAGACTCCTTAAACCTGGTGGCCATTTTCTCATGATTGGAGCTATGGAAGAGTCTTTCTACTTAGCTGGAGAAGTGAAGTTGACAGTGGTGCCCCTGAGTGAAGCAGACATCAAGGAATCATTTGCAAAAAATGGCTATCATATTCATGACTTCCGTTCCTACAACATGCCTCCAACCCTGATGGTTGGAGTTGACGACGTACAAGGGATCTTTTTCATCCATGCACAAAAGTTTGCTTGATTCCATTTTGTCTAGAAGTTGTTTTTTCTCTTGTCAAAGAAACATGAGATTGTATAAAAACTCCGCTTGCTCATTCTTCCCATTATTTTTTGTGTTGCTGTCTCTGTGCTTAGATCTTATTGCCTCTGTTTTGATCTTATCTGAATTCACATCTGTTGCCAAAAGAGGATAGTTTCAGTAATCTGAACCAAATTCCTTTGCAGATTTTATTCATTTTTACTGTCCATAGAATGAAATAATGCATATACCCCACCAAAGTACAGATCAGGGACAGAGTACATATTTTTCATTTAAAACAGCAAGAGTACAACTGCAGTAAAGGGGGGGGGGGCAATTTTCCCCAGTTTGGAATTCTCCAGATTTGTAGGACTTCCAAGACCATGGTGGTTGGCAAATATAACATTTGGAACCCAATATATTGGAGGAGCACCAAGCTGGAGAAGATTGCAAATATATTGGATAGTAAAGCTAGGCAAGTAATCCACAATTAGCCACAAACTAGCCAGCTATATGTAGCCATATATATAACAGGAACTATATTCTGATTCAATATAAAATGAATCCACATTAGATAAAGTTGTTTATACTGGTTGTGGGTGTTTTTTGTTTTGTTTTGCCTGTTCTATTAATTTTGAAGTTGGCAGAAGAGCTCTATTTTGATGTTCTAGAGCAGACTGGATACTTCAAAAAATTTTCCTGATTGCCTGAGAAAATTGCTGCTAGAAGAAAAGTAATTTCCAAGCAAGTTTATCTCCTAAGTACTCTGTTCTCAGTGTAATGACATGAGTATCATTGGCTATGTAATCAAGCTTCACAAGCACAAGAAAAATAATTCCAGGAACATTTATCACAAGTTCTAAAAAGCTTTATGGAAAAGCCTCTAAGGAGGGAGGTGCAACATAAAGCAGCTTACTGATTTGTTTTGCATAATGTATTAGGGTATGATTTGCTTAACTGTGGTTTAAAGAAGTCTCAGTTGCTTGAATTCTCATGTCATACTATGTATTATGTAACCCAGACCACTGAGAATTCTTAATGGGCACAGAATGTTAACTGATGGGAGAGGAAAGCAAAAAAAAAATTAGGAAGAAAGGTTGCAAGATTCAAGAAAATTGCTGGGCAAAATAATTAATTGCACTAGATTTCAACAGATCTACATAAAATATGATTAAAACTGGATCCACCCCAATTCTGAGACAGAAAAGTAAATAAATACTACTGCGTATTATAAAAATATCTGAGCACAATGTAGCTTTCATTTAAAAAACAATGTTTTATGGACATCTACTAGGTGCTGCATGCTTATTGAGCTTTGTTTTCCTCTTCATGTTGACTTGAAGGAATACGAGAACCACTTTGAATTCACAAATAGTTTTTAAAAAATTATCTTCTGTCCCAAATGTGTTAACTGGAAAGAGGTTTGCCATGAACTGCCACTGTCCATGTTGGCAGTTAGAGGGAACTGCCAATCTTTTTCAAAAAAGTTGCTTGGGATGTAAAGTGAACTCAGCCATACTTTGTTTCAGTTCATTTTCCCTTCACCCTAATTTAGCTGCTTATGAGGACTTAGAGTTTGGGTATATTGACAATAAAACACAAATAGCAGGTGTTGTGATTTCAATTACATTACTACATAAGCAGCCTCAACCATAACCAAGGCATTATGTAAATATTATTCTGCAGATTGTATGGTTCCTTAATTCTCAAAAGTTATTTTCAGATTAGAACATACTAAAAGTAGATCTTATATACTTTACATGTATTTTCCTTGAAAAAAAAAACAATCAGGCTATTGAAATGATTATGTTCAACGCTTACAAATATTTCCAGCACCTATTGCTGCCCCTTCCCTCTCTGTGTGGTGTGTGTTGTTATGGCATTTCTGACACAAATACATTATCATAGAATTAAACATATCTAACAGCCAAATGTTTTTAAAACTAAAATGTATCATTTTAAGTAGTATATCTGCTGAATTTTCCACTTGCAAATCCGCGACTGAGTTGTGCCATTTCAGAAAGCAGATAAAAGGAATGTGATGGTGCCATTCATAGGGTGGTCATTTCTTGGCACAGCTGGTGGAACAGATCTATCTTCTGCCCACAGGCTGCCTTTTTCCTAAATCAGGGGCTGCTTCTGTAGGGATGAGTAGCTTGTCCTAATAGATCACTGACTTGCTTGTCTGTAAGCATCTCACATACTGGGAAACTCAGAGACTTCATCCGCTGCCCTTTAGCCAAGCCAAGCTTCAAAGACAAGTGGAGATTAAAGGGATAATAATATGATGGAAGGATTTTTCATAGTAATTACAAGCTGCTAAATAAGGTCATCAAGAGTTTAGCATTTAAACTGAATCATTTTTTATTGGAAATTGCACATACATAAAAAAAAACAGCAGAAATTCAATTACAGTGGGATGTCTTCCTCAGAAGAGTCTGTACAATGTAACCCATCAAGAGGAATGCAGCTGACCATCCAGCATTATCTGGCATTTAATAGGTTTATTTTTTTTCAGCTGACTTCCAGCAGAAGTAGCAATAAAAAATTACCAAGTACCTGGGAGATTGGTATAGGCCCAGACAGCTGAATGTAGTTTAAATAGTATATATCTTTTATGTGCTATTTTAATAAATTTGTGTTTTTCCTTCTTGACATATATAAAATCTTAGAGTAGAGAAGGATGTTTCACAGTTGAAGCTCCACTAACCTTACTCTGTTCAACAGAAAGGGGAATTGCCTGACTAGGAACTTCATGTAAGCTATTTGCAAAGGAAAGACAGGATTTTAACTTAAATCCTGGTGTCACATTTAAAAGATGAGGTTTGAGACATCTTCTGGAGTCCCAGGAGAAAGTGTGTGTGCTTTTTTATGTTTTTCCCATAATTTTCTAACCCACTGCAAGAATGACAAACAGAATTGAGACTAAGGATATCAATCAGAAAAAACGTAATCAAATTTCTCTTCTGGAAGAGAAATAAAGGCAGGGAAACATCAGCAAAACCATGATTTAGCTTGCATATGAGACACTAGTGCACTTACTATCTTGGTGAAAATGTATCAGATATCAAAAATCAGCATGAGCTGGATCTGGCATCTTCTTTTCACAGAACTCCTTCTCAGCACAGTGGGGAGAACATGAGTGGTATACTCAGATTAGGACTGAGTTCATGCTAAGCCAAGATTTGATTTTTTTCAGGGTTCACTTAGTAAATTATAATTGGCTTAATTGCACAATGTACTCATGGTGTATAAACTGCCTAGGTGAAATATAAAACTGGAAGGCCACAGGAGCTTGATGGGTTAGCAAGGACTTACAGGAATACACAGCTCTCCTCCTCCTCCTCCTCCCCATTTTTCATGATTTATTGATTGCGCTATTCCTCCCATACAGACCACATCCTGGAGCTTCTGACTTAGATCTGTTTGCACAGATTACTAGCATGTGGTTTTATAAACTATGGTCTACCAAATTAAATCAACTGATTGTGTTCACACAACATATAGTTACAAAGCTAGCATATTCTAGTTAAGTTCTCACAAACAGGAGCCCCTTAACAGGCATAGGAAGAAGGCAGGAAGAAGGCTTTCCTCCCACTAACCATTAAGTCAAGATCTGAACATAGAATAATAGGCCTTGGAAGTCTTCTAGTCCAAACCCCTGTTCAAGCAAATGGATAAATGGTTGTCCAATCTCTTCTTGAAAACCTCCAGTGAGGGAGCACCCACCACTTCCAGCAGAAGGAAGGAAGGGTTTTCTCCTGTTTACAAAACAGCCTTCTCAGCACATAATCTAGAGCAGCTTTAGAACAGAAAGCACGCAGCTCCAATTACAATTGTTCCTATGAGATTTTAATCACAGGAACTGAAAACTGTCCAATAGTACATCTTGCTTGGCAGTGGCTCTGCCACAGTCATGTTTCCTATCCCTTCCTATTTTCCACTTAGGAACTAAAGAGCTCTAGCAGTTGCTTGTCCTAAACAGGAAAACAGCTCTTGGACCGTCAACAAAAATGCCATTTCAAATATTTAGGCATTGGATGAGCAGTTAATTAGAATTGCTCTGCATGGGCACAATTAGAAACCCTTCTTGTGGCTACCAACCTTGAATTTCAAGACTTGCTCAAAAGCCCTCCATGCCTCCAGAGCCAGCATTTTTAGCTCTCCTTTTTGTTTCATTTATTAGTATCCAAAGTCTGGGTGACTTGAGGCCCTCCAGAGACCAGTCAGTTAATATTGACCTTTCTGATAGAGTGCAGTGAGTTAATATTCATCAACATCCAGAAGGCTACACTTTGAAACAGACAAAGCAAAGCAGAAGTGTACTTCCCATTTTGTTCTCTTTGGTTAGCCAAACTATGGTACAGCCTAATATAGATCCCCAAAGCTAGTAACAGGTCACCTCCAGCCATCCAGTCAAAAGGATTGGCAAAGCTTGTGGAAAGTACATCCCTTTAAAACAGGATGGGGAACAAAGTGACTTTTGGAAAATAACAAGAGGATTACTATTAATCCAATTCACACATCTAACCTGAAGATGGATGTACTATATAAAATTAGACATGCAAAAACATAGTCCTGCATTTAAAAAGCAGAGTCTGCTGTATCTGGGCAGCAAAAGTAAGCATCTCTCACAGGTATGGCTCTCGGGACCTTCAGGCCACCCCCTTGCCTAGGCCTTTTCCAGCTCAGCCCACTTCAGCGGTGTCTGCAAAATAGCCCCAAAACTTGACATCATTCTACAGCCATTCAACCAAAGTCCTTCCTCCTTTAAAATGTGTTAAGATGCATGCAAAAAAGGAGTAAGGCTTCAATTGTATGATTATGGTGGCCATCCTGACTATTTTGACCTCTCTGCTACCTCTGGTACACTCAGTTTTGTGAAGCAGCACTTTTGAACAGAAGTGCTGACTGACAAAAGGCAGTGTCAGATTTCCAAGACTGATATTTCTGCTTTCACAATGAGCAGCTTCTCTTGTTCCCTGTTGTTACATATATACAATGCTGGCTTGCAGAATGCTGCCAGAAGATGGCTCAGTCAACTAACCTTTTGTCCTTGAAGAACTATGTACACTTCACCACAAAATGCGGTGCCTGTTTATGATTGAAAAAAGGAAGATTTCATTTGCATGAGTTGTCCTGTCTAATTAAGTCATATAAAAGAACAAGAGGGCCAGAGGACACTAACATTTCAATCTGAAATCATTCCCAAGCTTGTTTGATTGCTTTCAGAGGGACAATCATATCTCCAACTACAGCAAAGCGTAACAAAGAAAGACTACAGCCCTTTAAAGATAAAATCTTCAAGTCAAGCTTAATCTTTGGGGAAACTCTTCCATTTGTATGGCAATATTCCAGAAGAGCCTTGTCATTACATATTGGGATACTTTTTCAATTTCCCAATCTGGCTTGTGATCCTGGTATTTCCCCCATACATTCCATTCAAGAACTAACCAGGCACTTCCCTATAACGCAATAAGGTCAAACAGCCTAGATTTCACCAGTTAAAATAATCACCACCCAAATCTTACATGATCAATGTTTATCTGCTTTTAATTACTTTAATCTGGTATTCTCACAGAAACGTTTGTGAAAGCAACATTGATGCGTGAAATTTCATGTGAGAAGGCCAACATCTTTTAAGATAAGGACTTTCTGTTCATTTTGGGGAATCTAGCCATCCACTCCATATTGATGATTTCTTAAGACTGTAATTCTACCTGCATTCACATTTAGCAACCACAATTGGGCCCAGCCACTCAGGCATTAAACCAAGCAATCACTAAGTGAAACAACTGAACTTACTTCAGCTTTTCTTTGCTTTAAAACCTGTAAAAGTCATAAATACAAGAAGGGTTGTAAAATTATTTTGTCATCACATTGTAATTGTGAACTCTGCTAAACATGGCAGTCATCAAACAAGGCTTTCCTCTGTAGATGACATGCATACAGTTATACTGTTAGTCTCGGAGATACTTGAAATTTTTGCCAGAGGAAGGCAACCAGGTTTCAGATCAGATATTCTGGATTTCAACTTTCATCAGGCCTAACCAGTATTGCCTATGACAGGGGTGTCAAACTGCCGGCCCGCGGGCCAGACGCGTCACGTGGAAGCCGTGTCAACCCCATTGCCAGCAATGTGAAAACCGGCCCGATATGTTGTGCGATGTCACATGACATCGCGAGTTTGTCATGCCTGGCCTATGACAAGGAATTATAGGTGAGTACCTTTCTGCTCCTGTTTTCAGAGAACTGAAAGTAGATGGAAAAGCCAAACTGAAATGAATGGAAAAGCTATAATAAAAGATGCTCCTTTTCTCTCCTAGAACTGAAAGTGAGAATGCATACAGTAGATGTGTATGAATTTTAAATCTCCTCCTACTCCAGTTGGTACCCTTTTCACACTGATTAGATACCAAGCACACCCCTCAGGATTGGGGAATCATAATTTCCCCCTAGTTATGCAGAATAGCACTATCAGCAGTAAATGGGATTTCCCACAACTGTTTCTTAAAAGGGATGAGGATAAGCATACTGTTGTTCAGGCAAGTCTAGCTGCTATTGCCAATTTTCTTGTGCAGCAGCCTGATAATATAAATTAATTAAAGGCTCCCCATTTAAACTTTACCACATTACAATAAAAACATAGAACCAAAACCTTATGTTTTAAATACCACTTCCAAATCACAGATAAATTGGCAAGCACTGCCACCTGGTGGTTGAATAGAACTAAAATACCCACACGAACAGTCTTGCTCCATTCCACATTTTATTTTGATTTTTCACCGGTCATAGGCAATTTCTGAATCCTTTGGCACTCTTCAAGCAAAAGGCACTTTGGCCTCAGATTACTTTTTCTAGTTTTCCCACAGGCAGAAAATTGCTCAAGTGTTCATAATCAACATGTAATGAGTTCTTTTAAGAGCTGTAAGTGTTGCTGAATTGAATGCCTCAGCAATGAGAAAATTTAATGAGCAACAAAATCCTGAGGTTATCTGTCTCTGCAAACAATCAACATTTCTTGGCATAAATATCCAGGCACTTTGTCATCTTCAGATGGACATCCCTTAATTTAAGCCTTCCCATAATTAAAGAAAATAAAATGGCTGAACACCAAAAGATAAGAATTTTAAATTATAGGAACAGCCTGCCTTTGAATACAGATGGCTAGTCCAGTAATGGGGCATAGCCATAGAAGCCCCAAAAGAGCAGATAGATAAGACACCAAACTTCCTCCAGGACTTCGAATGACAAATGATTCACAGGAAAAATAGAACACCGACCAAGATGGAATTTTGTGGCAAGGTAAATCTCATCTCAAATATGTCTATATTACAAAAAAAAAAAAAACCCTGTCACCCCACTCTCCAGAGTTTGTATTGTTATTTTAAAAACTTGGAGCAGATGTGGAGAAGAAGGAAAATGCTATTTATTTCCCCTCCAGATCTGGCTTGCACTTTGCCTTGAAATTTTTCAAACAGTTTTTACAGCTTGCTAGGAATATTTATGCCATTAAAATGTCCCAAAAGATTAATTAAAATATTTTTAACTAATTCCCAAAAAAATTCTTCCTCCAGTTGGAAGCTAATTCTGATGACAGTCCAACAATAAATCTGGTGGTGGTAGTGTTCTCAAGATTTTTGGAGCAACTTAATAATACATAATGAAGTGATGTGACTGAACATGTCCGTGACAAGAAGGAATAAGGATTACTGTGATGGTATATATATGCACACACAAGGCTTTGGAGACAGAAGACAGTTGACCCCAGCACCACATATGAATGATTAAAAAAAAAAGTCACTGCAATATAGAATCCATTTTCTACTTTTCTCATGACTGACAAGAAAGTAGGGAGCATAGTGCTAAACTCCCAATGGCTTGCTGAAAAAACAGGGAGCTTCTCAGTGAAGCAGCATTATAAGACCACTTGTATGAAAATTTGGATTTCAAGTCAACAGCAGCGTAAAGATGGATAGGGGTTTCCCAGATTTGCTGCTGCCATTTTCCCAAGCAGTTTGGAAAGTCCTTTCTATGCAGTCTATTGGACCAGCCAAAACCCAGTAGAACCACTTTTGTAAAAATGAAAAAAGAAAGCAAGTAAAACAAATATAGCTTTCCCTGCTCTCTTCAGAGAAGTGTAGGAAGAACTGGGGAAAGCAAATAAAAGGGCCCAAAATAATCTCAGGGAGACAAGAGGCATGTCTCAATACATTCAAGCAAAAAAAAAAAAGGCAATCAGGCTATCACACTATGGCAACAGAATTCTGAAAGGGAAGTTTTTGAGATGTAAAAACAGAAGCAGTAGAGAGGAAATTGTCACCAATCCTCAGAGCAAAGTGGGCTCACAACATCAAACTCCTCAGATGCTAGAAATCAAAGCAACAGGGTGTCTTTTATAGATGGCAGCCCATGGCTTTTTCAAAGTTACCCTCTGCCACAAGTTTTAGTCTCTTTTAAGAATCTCAGAGTTGGCCTTCAGGAGATAAAGACTGTCATCGACAAGGAAACTGTAAAGAGAAAAGAAGTTACTAGGATGAATGATCAGTATGGATTAAGGCTAATTTTAGGTTCAGAACACAGATGGACATATTTTTCCAGGCCATGAACTGCCATCACTATTCAAAATCATGTCAGGAGAGAGTGAAAAAATAAATAGGGCCTAAATTAGGCTATGTAATAATGATAATTACTACTACTATTATTTCTTATCTCAGGTGGCCTTTTCTGATAATTATTCTTCCTTGGTGATAGATAATTAAATGTGGAGATCTCTCTATTTCAAACTTTTAGGCCACTGAAATCAAAACTATTCTCAGCAGTCTAGAGCAGCAGTTCTCAACCTGTGGGTCGGGACCCCATTTGGGGTCGAACAACCATTTCACGGGGGTCGCCAAACAATGCAGTCCGCCATTTTTTTCCCCCTTTTCCTTAGCTGTGCTACTCCCTTTTATTCTATTGGCTTTTGAAACCCAATAGAATAGACTCTCTTGAATAAAGTCTAATTCTATTGGCTTTCAAAAGCCAATAGGAATTGTCCAGGCTGTCTCTGCCCTGCTGAGCCTGCCAAAAGCCCCAGTCTGCAAACGGTGCTGCAAGTTATCTGCAGCGAAGGCGAGCTGTCTGGAAGTTTCCACCCCTCCCTGCTGAGCAACTACTAAAAATGTAAGTAAAAGAGGTCCAGGGGTGGGAGGTGGGAGGCCGGCGGGCACAGGGAGGGTTGCTGGCGCACGTGGGACCCGGTGAATGCCTTACCTCCCTTGGGCTGGGCCAGCTGGTGGCCCAGCCGGTGATCGGCCAGCACCGTCTCTGCCGCTTGCCAGCTATGCCTTGGCCGGCGCAGGGGGCAGCACCACGCATGCGTGGCACTCCCAGGAAGGGAAAGTCCTCGACTTACAACTGGTTGGGTAGTCCTCGACTTACGACGGTTGGGGGTCGCGGCATTAAAAAGGTTGAGAACCACTGGTCTAGAGGGTATACATGTAGTCCTTGTTTTACAAATACAGTTGGGATCGGAACCTTCATTGCTAAGCAATATGGTTATTAAGTGAGTCATATCAGATGTTTTTGTACTAAGCAAATCACCATGTTCATTAAGCAAATTTGGCTTCGCCACTGACTTTGCTTGTCAGAAGCTTCTGGAAAGGTCACAAGTGACCCCAGGATTCTGCAACCATTGTAAATACAAGCTGGTTGTCAAGTGCACAAATTGTGATTATGTGGCTGTGAGGCTGCCGCAACAGTCGTAAGTGCGAGAACAGATCTTAAGTGACTTTTCTCAGAACCATCATAACTTTGAACGATCATTTAACAAATGGGTTGTAAGTTGAGGACTACCTGCATAAGCAATAATTCCTAATCAGGTCAAAATCAACCCCAATGATCATGTAAAACCCTCCACAAAAACATTACTCACCTCCAGAATTTAAAAACAAAAGAAGAAAAAGGCAGAAAGCAGCACGAAAACAAGATAGAAACAAACAGAAACTTTTTAAAAAGGCGCTTTGAAATAATTCATTTTTTTCATGTTTTCCATAAAATCAGCAAGAAAGGAACCAGCTTGATCCACATTGGGAAACTATTCCCAAACTCTGGTGCTACTGCACAAAGGCAGCCCCTTCTAGTTTCGGCCTCCTAAATCTCTAAAGCATGTAGAATTAGGAGTACTTTCTCTCTAACCTTCTAATAAATTGAGCTAATATTGGCTAAGACCTGTATATATTCAGGTGTTCCCAAAACCAATCAGTAACGCACAACTGGCATATCAGCTAAAGCCGAGTATAGACCCTCTGGCCATTGCACCCTCAGGCTGATATCTCCTTTCCACTACCTCAGAGTGAAATTGCTTACTGAGCAAGGAATAGAACCTAACCCTGTAGACAATTAAATGGCTGCCAAGATCAATGGTATTGAAAACAAGTTCAGGACATTCTTCCCATTCAGCCTAGAAATAGGTCACCCAAGAGAGACCAATATTGTCTCTGTTCCACATTGGACTTGAAAAATGCCTGAAAAAGTCTAACTAATTCACTATGTTTAGAGTGCTGTCAAGCTGGTTAGCCACAATTATCTTAATCGTCTTGAGCCCCAATTGTTGGGTCATTCTTATATTTTGCAACAGTACTTTCAGAGGTCCACCAGCAGGAACACAGAAACACCAGCAGGAAGGAAGATGCATGCAAAATAGGCTGACCTGTAGAAAAGGATATTGACAGGGATGGTACTGATATGCCAGATGGCATGGGCATCAAAGACCCAAAACAGGGGTGGGAAATCCAGGAGTTCCAGGAGAGCCAAGGCCTGGAGAAGCAGGACAACTGCCACACACTTCCAGACATAGGGCAGGCGTTGCTGGTTCCGCATACACCAACCCAGCCACCAGAAGAGATTGAGAAGGCCTGCAAAGAACAGAACAACACTTCATGTTAATATCGCTTTAATCACAGCAGAAAGAAAGAAGCAGCTTTTGCTTCAGATACTGCAGATTCCAGTACTACCAGAATCCTGATTGCATTGTTCCCCCCTCAGCACTAAATGCTGAGATCATACAAAGTATGCATCCTATTTGTCCGTAGCAGAAAGAGAACAGAGAGGACTTTTAAAAAAAAGAAACAGAAAAAAGAGAACAAGACAAACAGGAGAGAAAAAAGTCTCATAAGGCAGTAAGAACATTTAGAAAAGAAACACTGAAACAAATTAGCTAAAACTATTTTACAGATAAAATAAAAATATTGATTCCTTAGGTCTCACCAATTGCCACATTGGCAGCCATATTGTAACCATAATCAAAGTGCACAAGGGTCAAATAGGAAACATGGCAGGCCAGGAAAAGGAGCAGGAAACCCCCAAAGGCAGTGGCAAAAGCCGGACGTTTCAGCCCTAAAGTTCTGCAAGTAAAACACACATGAAGTTAAAGATATTTCAAAGAACTGCCTAGACCATTTTCTATCCCTAGTTTTGACTAAACAGAAAAAGAGATATTTTCCTCAATAAATTCAGAATATTTACAGCTATAGAAGAAAATTCCACATTAATTCAAATAAGGAATTGTATTCTAGCCTTTGACAACTTTCCACCCTAAAATGCAACCATCCCCACTTTTTCCTTCAGGAAAGGGGTGCAATTTTTTTCCTAACTAATCCTTAAAAGTTGGAGATTTGGGGGGTAGCTATTTATGGAAGCCTTTTGGGAAATTGATATAGGGAGTTATTGTGGAGATCAGAAATTGTCATGGCTGTAACCCTATGTTTTTTAGGAAAGCCACTGTCTACTCCAGCGAGCCTTGGTGCAGATTTATTAAGAAGATAACTTAATAAGTTAGGATTTTCTGTATTTTGTTAGTTACTCCTCAAATACCGGATTGATTGATGAATGTTCTTAGACTGAAGAAGACAAGCCACTCGGTATGGACTGGAATAGGAAACAAGTTGCAATAAATAAACTATGACTAGAGGTTGCTTATTGATTGCATATAAATATATGGGCTTTCATTAAAAAACATTTATTATCATGTCTCATTTCCTACAGATAGCATGTATGCTATGGTAAAGTATTGTGAAGAGGCTGTCTTGAACAGATAAATTACATTTTTCCTTCTCTAAATTCTTTTCTTTTACCAAACTGACCCCCTTCAAATACTCTGGAACTTCCTCTTCCAAGAACTCTAGTCAACATAGACAGAGACTGCTAGGAGTATTTGATTAAGTGTATGGGGGGATGGGCTCCCAACATACCAAAAGGGCATCAACTTGGGAAGGATGCTGTAGAGAACAGAAGGGAAATTCAGGATTGGACATAACAAAATATATGACCCACACCAGCTGAACTAATTTTTACATGAATTAATCAAATTATTACTTTCCATGTAATAAGACATCTTAAAATGAGAGAGAGAGATTTTAATCAAATAACTGTAATGAAAATGATGACAAAACCCCTGAAAGATTAGGTGAACTTTGGTCTTACGTGGCAACTTACCTGACACAACACAAGTACACAGAGTAAAGGATGACTGCTGATGCACAGAAATAGTCCATTTTCTATGAGAAGAGAAACTGAATTAGAGATGTGGGCCAGATCTTGTCCAATGTATATGCCATCTGAAAAACATTTCCATGATATCACAATAAAAAAGCTTACCTCAGTTAGATTTGTTTCTCGGGTATGAAAAATCATGGACCAGAGCCAGGCATTTAAAGACACCTGAAGGAAAAGTGCAAAAAAGAATTAATCTGAGCATACCACCTTCTATGACAAGATTCATAGAAACCTGCAGTTGAGACACAGAGGAAATGTATGAAATAGCCCACTCTTTTAAGTACCTATGTGACTATCAAATGGTATTTGATTATATCAGTAGTGTCCAACCTTGGCAACTTTATGGCTTGTGAACTTCATCTCCCAGAATTCCGCAGCCAGCATTGAAATCCGCAAGTCTTAAAGTTGCCAAGGTTGGACACTCCTGGATTACATCAACAAGCCTGAATGGATCAAAAAATGAAGACAACTCGGAAGAAAACCTGATCCTCAAAACCCTATTTCTTCCTTGCCCACCCACTAATGTTTGGAAAGGAGTTTAAAAAAATGAGTGTCTACTTGTCCAAATTTCTTTTTTCTACTTAGCTTGTTCAGAGAGCTTAGGCTCTCTGAACCTCAGCTTCTCACACAAAATTAAATGATAATAAAACTGACTGTCAAATATACTGAATGAAAATAGATATAATTAATTTCAAATGGGGCACAAAGGCTAAGGATTGTTTACTCTATGTGATAAACCTAAAAAAGATCCCATATGCTTTCTTTCACCCATCACTCTGATTGGTCTAGCAGCACAATTTCTAGAACCTCTGAGAGTGTTATAGATTACAAATTTAATCATAGGGTTGGAAGACATATTCATGTCAAATATTCATGAATATTGTCTAAAATATTATCATTTTCAACTATTGATAGAATGCCTTGAATTTGTCCCTCATAGTAGACATCCTCTTTCTTATTTCCTTCAAATGGCATTTCTTAAAATAATTTCCTTTCTTTTAGCTTGACTTAAAACTCTAAGAAGCCTCCTTTTGCAAATTGCATGCATCATACTACACCACAAGCATGACCACCATAATCTGTGAGATCAATATCCCACCTTTTCTCCAGGAAGTAAAAGACCTTCCATGGGGATCTTCTTTGTTTTATTCCCACCCCCAAAAAAATTGTGAGAAAGCTTGGACTGGGATTTTGCGAATGGCAAAAAATTGCCCCATACATCAGGATGGATTTGAACCCAGATCTTCCCAGTTATGCTATATTGTTATGTTCAAGTGTAGTATGGTCATCTTTTCCAACAACTTGGCCCCTATACACACTGTCTCTCAGTAGACACAGCCCTAAAAGTTCTCCAAATTTCTACCCAAACTTTTTGTGATAAAAAGAAAGAAGAGTGTTGGAAAATAGCACATTTAGTTTTAATTACATTGAAATTGAGCCAAATCATATTAAATGTGAATTTTTTCTGGTTTCACGCCTTACTTTTTGGAGTATCCCCTTCTAAACTCAACAATGGCCATGTGCAACCATTAGCTCAGAATGCTATAAACGTCTGCACTAAACCATATTTACAGATCATGATGGCTGGACTCAGCTAAAATTTTAACTCAAACAAGTCATAAGATGGTTTAGGATGTTATGTGAGCCCAGATTTCTTGTATAATAATTTTCTTTCACCTAGTAAAGAAGATAAGGAAGCTGGGATTCTTGTTAAAAATGACTTACCCAAGAAAAGGCAATGCAGGTATGGTACATAGGAGAAGAACGGGGAACAGTGGCTTTATATCTGTTCAGCATCATCAAATTGGCAAGACCATTAAGGAATGAAGCAAAGGCAGAAGCAGGCTCCTGAAAAAACAGGAAACGAGAAAAGGGCCACTATGGGGGAGGCAGGGAGAGGAAAGAGGAGAAGATGATAAAGAATGTTATCAAATGGAAATGAGGTTATCTGCACATTTTCCTATGACTGCTTAAACCAAATCCTAAAGTAGGCGGAGAAGAGAAACTGCAGTTCAGTATTTTTTCTTCCAAATGCCCCCAAAATAACTGAGATCTTCTGCCTTTTTCTTTTGACCAAGGACTACTTCATTTGAAATTGCATAGCTAATTTCTGAAATACTGTATATGCCGGCGTACAAAGCGACCCGGCGTATAAGACGACCCCTGTCTTTGTCGCCGAGCCGCATTCCTAGAACGTCGTCTTATACGCCGGAAACTACCAGTAAGACGACTCGGCGTATAAGACGACCCCCATCTTTGGTGCCGATTTTACCACTTGCGGAAGTCGCCTTATACGCCGGCATATACGGGTAAGTAAATTCTTGGGCCTTAGGTATAGTGCTGACTCCAAGAGAGCTGTGTTTATCTCTCTTCTTCACCTATTACATTCCCAATCCAGAGTAAACTGGGTAAATAACAGAAAATTCCCTTGAAATGCAATTTCAGGCAGTGATTTGGGAAGAGAAAAAATTCTCACTCTTGACTCTGATAAGAGTAAATGAAAGATCTTCAAATTTTAAAATTATAAGAGGAATTAATTGTAAGAGGAAGTAGCTGCAAGAGGAAATAGCTTAAAGATAAAACAAAACAAACAGAAAAACAGGAAAGACAAAACTAAAAAGGAACTGAATAACAGGAAAACTAAAGCTAACTGAATAACAAGAAAGAATCTATTGTTCTAAGAATCCTTAAAATAATTAAGAATTCAAAAACAAGTTAAAAGAGCATACTCAATAGACTATTGAATATTATCTGACATACCTTGCATATATTGTCTGCTCATTTAAATGCACATGCAATGTATGATTTAGTATGTTTGGGGAGGGTAGCAGGAAATATGTAGAAGGCAGGTGGAGAGAATGTAACCTCATCGTACCTCAGCCAATGGGGAACAAGGAGGGATAGGTGGTTGGAGTAGGGAATGTATAAAGATGTTGATTTGAGATGATGAGCTTTGGAGAAAACCAAGCTTTGATAACGTCTCCTCATTTATTGCCTCTGGTTGCAAATGAAAGGGTCCAGGAGCAACCCCAATGATCTGAAAATTACTGAAGCTCTCTTTAGACTGACATGTATTCTGTGCACATTGTGATTGCCAAGAAATAGTTGCAATTACTTCACCAATTTATCCTTTTTCCTGGTGCTTAAAGGCTGGAAATATAGAAAGGACTGATACAGACTACAGAAAAAATTGGCAGAGTCTCACTTTTTTCCTTGCTCTAGTTTCTCTTATTAGTTTACCAGAAGGAAATATTTCCCTGCTGTCTGGCATATGCTGATTTTGCTTACTCAAAATCTCAGAGTCAAGCCCTGGATCTAGTAAACGCTCTACTGAAAAAAAGCCTACTGCCAGCCCAAGTAGATAATATTATTAATAACAACAACAACAACAACAATAATAATAATAATAATAATAATAATAAAGTTGGAAGGGACCTTGGAGGTCATCCAACCCCCTGCTCAGGCAGGTAACCCTATACCATTTCGGACAAATGGCTGTCCAGTCTCTTCTTAAAAACTTCCAGAGTGTTGGAGCATTTACTGCTTCTGGAGGCAGGTTGTTCCACTGGTTAATTGTTCTAACTGTCAGGAAGTTTCTCCTTAGTTCTAGGTTGCTTCTCTCCTTTATTAGTTTCCATCCCTTGCTTCTTGTCATGCTTCAGGCGCTTTGGAGAATAGCTTGTGGCAGCCCCTGAGATATTGGAACACTGCTATCATATCACCCCTAGTTCTTCTCTTCATTAAACTAGACATAGCCAATTCCAGCAACCGTTCCTTATATATTTTAGCCTCCAGTCCCCTAATCATCTTTGTTGCTCTTCTCTGTACTCTTTCTAGAGTCTCAACATCTTTTTTACATCGTGGTGACCAAAACTGGATGCAGTATTCCAAGTGTGGCCTTACCAAGGCATTGTAAAGTGGTATTAATACTTCATGTGATCTTGATTCTATCCCTCTGTTAACGCAGCCTAGCACTGTGTTGGCTTTTTAGGCAGCTGCAGCACACTGCTGGTTCATATTTAAATGATTGTCCACTAGGACTCTGAGATCCCTCTCACAGTTACTACTGTTGAGCAAGGTACCCCCTATACCAGACATGTCAAACACAAGGCCCGGGGGCCGGATACGGCCCGCGAAGTGGTTTCATGTGGCCCGCGAAGCCATCCTGGAAACAGTGAGGGAACGGCCCCCGCTGCCTGGGCCCTGGCCCAGGCCGGCCGGGAGCCAATGTACAATTTTGTGGTGGCTATCTATGCTGAAAAGCATTCAGTCTTAGTCCACAAAGCTGTCTAGAAACAGCGAGGAACTAGCCCCTGCCACGTCAGCCCTGCCCCCTGAGTGCATGCTGGGGAGGTGTCACCCTTTGTGAGGAATGAAGAAATGCACCATGCCTTAGCGCTTGTCCTGGTCCCATCCCTTTCTGCCAGAGACCCTCAAATCTGTCCCACTCCTGCCCAGGCCCCCACAGCACCCTTGACGCAAATGATGTAGAGCTGGCCACGCCCAGCCAGTAGGCTACACCCACACCATCCATGCCCAGCCAGTAGGCCACACCCACCCTGGTCACACTCACCCGGCCCCGAGGGCAACTGCAATGTGATGCGGCCCTCAATGAAATTGAGTTTGACACCCCTGCCCTATACTATACCTGTACATTTGGTTTTTCTTGCCTAAATGTAGAACCTTATTTTTTTCACCATTGAATTTCATTTTGTTAGATAGTGCCCAGTATTCAAGTCTGTCCAGATCCTCCTGTATCCTAAGCCTGTCTTCTGGAGTGCTGGCTATTCCTTCCAACTTGGTATCGTCTGCAAATTTGATGAGTTCCCCATCTATCCCCTTGTCCAAATCGTTGATGAAGATGCTGAACAGCACTGGGCGCAGAACAGAACCCTGGGGCACCCCACTACACACTTCCCTCCATGTAGATGCGGTTCCATTGAGGGCCACATGCTGAGTACGGCCAGTCAGCCAACTATGAATCCATCTGGTGGTGATTCTGTCTAACCCACATTTTTCTATCTTATCAAGTAGTAGATTGTGATCTACTTTGTCAAATGCCTTACTGAAGTCCAAGTAAATTATATCCATAGCATTACTCTGGTCCACTAATTTTGTCACTTGGTCAAAAAATGCAATAAGATTTGTCTCGCATGATCTGTTTTTGACAAACCCATGTTGGCTTTTAGTAATGACTTTGTTTGCCTGTAGGTGTTCACTGATTCGTTGTTTGATTATCTTTTCCTGAATCTTCCCAGGTATTTAGGTCAGGCTGTAGGTCTGTAATTTCCTGGATCCATTTTTTTTCCTTTTTTGAAGATCGGAACTACATCCGCTCTTTTCCAGTCCTCTGATAGTTCCCCAGTGCTCCAGGATCATTGAAAAATATAGATCAGTGATTCTGAGATCACATCTGCCAGTTCCTTGAGAACCTTGGGGTGTAATCCATCTGGTCCTGGTGATTTGAACTCGTCTAGGCTGGACAGGTGCTCACTTACCATTTTCTTGCCTACCTTAACTTGTGTTTCTATTCTGTTTTTTTTTATGGTACTATTTTTGATAGGTTGGTCTGTTTTTTCCCTTTGTGTAAAGACAGATGCGAAAAATGAGTTAAATAGTTCTGCTTTCTCCCTGTTGCTTGTCACCTTCTTGCCACTTTCATCCACTAATGGACCAGTCATTTCCTTCACTTTTTTCTTGTTTTTTATATGTTGAAAGAAGCTTTTTATGTTATTTTTTACTTTGGTTCCAAGCCTTAGTTCATTTTGAGCCTTAGCTTTCCTCACTTCATCTTTGCAGGCATATATTTGCTGATATTCTGACTTAGTTATGTGTCCCTCTTTCCACTTTCTATACTTGTCCTTTTTATCTTTCAATTTATCAGAGAATTAATACTGTCTGAGAGATAATACTGAGTTAAATGGACAAAGAGTTGAATCAATCTGTACAGGTGAGTTAATCTGGCTTCATAAACAAGGCTTACCTTTCCATGAAACTGAGGCACTTTGGATCCCTCCTGGAGATAAAGTCCCACAGTCAGCCACATACATTCATATTTGCAATCATCTCTGCAGGTCCACCCTAGAATATAAAAGAGTGTAAACCTAGTAAAATTAGGGTATGTAATATATTTTGGTAACACTTTATAGGAGTGTATTACTGCAATTTATTCTAAAGTAATGTGATAGAAATTAAGATACTCAGATTTGCATAGCATATTTTAGTTCATTAAAAACAATCATTTTTAAGGTATGGTGACCTGTCTCGTTCTGATTTTATATTGCTCTTTCCAGGTTTCTGTGGCTGAAACTAACGTGTCTCATGTTTCTTGCTTTTGTTTTTAGGATTCCACCATGCATTTCCAAAATGGTCTTACGGTCTTGACAATAATGGAAACTAAAATCCAAACACCATTTTAGCATCATGATCTGATATCCAGCATGGATTTCTTAGAAATAAATGCTTATTCAGAAATTGAGTCTGATATTGGGATATCTAATATTTGGGAAAAAGCGTTATTTTATTGATTGATTAATTTTATGACCAAAAATATAAAACAAATATATAATATAGGATATAAGTCAAGATAAAATAGGAAAGTAAAGTAATAAAATACCTATGTGTAAATATATCATCTTTACAGGATACCCCAATCTGTTTGAAATAACTGGTCTTTCAGTCAACTGCCTTAGCTATAAATTTAGAAGTTCAGTTCATGAAATATAGATAAGAGCCCAGGAGGAAATAGGACAATCTGCGACTCAGACCCCAGTAGGCTCTTCCTTCAAGTAGGGATGTTAAGTATCTAAGCCTAAGAGGGGCATAGAGTTGACAATCAAAGAAAACATGAGCAATATCTTCAATGGCTGGGGTACCACATATACATGTCCTCTCATGCAGGTGGTGGAAGTGCTCCTATTGGGCCATGGAATCCAACAACTCAAATCTGGCTTAGAGAACTGGGTCAAACTCATTGACAGGTATTTTTCAAACTGAAAAATAGTCTTGTTTTTAGCTAACCAATAATAACTCCATCATTTTGAGTGCTAATATCTAGGACTCTCTTTAAAAATTCCCCTTGCTTGGCTGGTAGTTGAGAATAAAGGAAAAGGGGGTAAATAAATTTTTGTGAAAAATACTTATATTTTGTACTCTCTGTACAAAGCACTGGGAAATAAAACAACCAAATCTGAATGCCAAGATCTAGATCACCACAAAATGGTCGCAAAGAGTTAAGCGGATTTTTGTGGTCCGTGTCCAAGGATTTCGAGCAGGGTGCCATTAGTATGTTGATTATATCCAGATCTATTTCTCTTTAACATCAGGTAATGATAGGGGATCTCAAATGTTTGCCTGAAATCATTAATAAACTAGATAAGTAGTAGTTCTCCTTGTCCTGAATAGGAGTGCATTTTCCCAAAAGGAGCCAATACAGCTGGGGAATATTTGAGCATCTGGGCCCCTCTTTAACTTCAGGTAACAGACAGGGACAATATTTAGCCACTTCCTCTGATAGGCCTACTGCATTCCTTCTTGAAAGAAAATGATTTTGAAACAGTGGTGCATATCCTGGTAATTGGTAATTGCCAACTTTACTCCTATAATGGTTGTATACATGGAGCTGCCTTTGTGCCAAGTTGAAAAACTTCAATCAGTATAAACAGTGAATTGATCGGTGGAAGACCTCAGAGAGACTTCAACATAGCAGAGCTACAAGTATGTCTCAGGATGAAATACAAAGTGATATGTAGACCTTTTAAAGATCTACTTAAGGGATCCCATCTTTCTTTATAATGCATACACACAAGACACAGTGATAATCTGAGGAGGCTCATCTACAGTTGCTATAGTCTGTTTTGTAGTTGCCACAGTTTTTTAGAAGACTTTTTTTTCTTTTGGGAAAGTGTGAGGTTTTGAACTACCACACCAAAAATGGATAACTTGAATATAAGTATAAATGAGGTAGAGCATACTTCCCTCAGTTTGACTGTGGGGTCCTATGTCAAACTGTAGATCACATGGTGATCAGCTGTAAATTGAGGGCATATAGTGGTCCAGCATCTGATTATTTTTCCCCATAAATAATGCTATATTTCAGTGATTAGATGCCTTAGACCAGTGGTTCTCAACCTGTGGGTCGGGACCCCATTTGGGGTCGAACAACCATTTCACGGGGGTCGCCAAACAAGGCTGTCCGCCATTTTTTTCCCTTTTTCTTTGGCCACGCCCCTGGCACCCAGTGATGTATAAGTGGTTGGGGGTCACCACAACATGGGGAACTGTATTATGGGGTCGCGGCATTAGAAAGGTTGAGAACCACTGCCCTAGACATTGGTATCTGAATATAGATTTTTTTAACATTCATATTTTACTGTGTTTTTAATCTAAATGAAATGTTAATATATATTGCAAGTCCATGTATGATATGCCATATGCTAAATAAAATAAATAAATCAAACTTCACGAAATGTGCCTAATGCATATGGTATATCCATTAAACTCACATTTGGATATGTATCCTCTACAACAGTGGTTCTCAACCTTCCTAATGCCGCGACCCTTTAATACAGTTCCTCATGTTGTGGTGACCCCCAGCCCCTCATCCAGCTGGCCAGGGAGGGGGGGCAGGAAGGCTGCTCTGCTGGCTCTGCCTAGCCTGGTTTGAGAAGCGCCATTCCTCTCCCTCTCTTTCTCTTTCCTCTTTTTCTTTCTCTTTCTTCTCTCTCTTTCCTCTTTCTCTCTCTCTTTCCTCCCTCTTTCTCTTTCCTCTCTTTTCCTGTTTCTCTCTTTCCTCTCTCTCTCTTTCTTTCTTCTTTCCACTCTTTCTCTTTCCTCTCTCTCTTCTCTTTCCTCTCTCTTCCCTCTCCCTCTTTCCTCTCTTTCCCTCTTTCCTCTCTTTTTCGCTTTCCTCTCCCCCTTTCTCTTTATTCCCTCTTTCTCTTTCCTCTCTTTCTCTCTCTCTTTCTGTTTCCTCCCTCTTTCTCTTTCTCTCTCTTTCCTTCTCTCTCTCTTTCCTCTCTCTTTTCCTCTGTTTCTCTCTTTCCTCTCTGTCTTTCTCTCTCTTACAGCAGCATTGTCGGGGGTCCCCGCCATCCCCAGCCCGGCCTCCACCCCAGCCGAACGGGCGGGGAGGAGGAGCAGGACAGGAGGCAGCGGCTCCGGCACGGCAGCATCGTTGAGGTTCCTCACCGCTCTCCTCTCCTACCTTTGCTGCATCTCCTTCTTCCTTCCCGGCAGCCTGGACTCTGGCGCGCCTTCCCAGCCAGTGGGTCCAATGATTGGGCTGGCTGGGGATCGCAGGGGTTGGTCTCCCTTGGATTGAGGCTTGCAGGAGGGCTGGCCTGCTCAGCGGAGCCTCCAGTGGGCTGCTCCCAGCACGGATCCCAGGGCTTCCCCGGACAGCTCCAAGGCTATGAGGCCCTGGCTGTGCTTCTCCCAAGGGATGGAGCACCTGGGCGCAGGGCCAATCAGGAGCCCTGCAGGAGGTAAGTCCGCCTGAAAGAGAGAGAGAGGGAGAGAGAGAACGGAAGCGAAAGTGCCTCTCTGTCTCTCTCTCTCTGCAAATGGCGGAGGAGGCCATGTGGAGACGGATGCGGAGCCGTGTCTCAATTCCTAAGACCAACAGAAATATGTGTTTTCCGATGGTTTTAGGCAACCCCTGTGAAAGGGTCATTCGACCTCAAAGGGCTCACAACCTACAGGTTGAGAACCGCTGTTCTACAAGTAGTTAATGTTACATCTCCTATACAATTGTCACCTCTAATTTTAATTGATGACTTTGTTTCACTTTGGAATAGCACACTGCAAGAGAATTGAAATACTTTGTTTCTCAGCCAATGCACTCATGATGATGGGATATGAATACCCAGGCAGTCAAGGTACCAAGGATTTGGAAGGTCAATTAGATTTCACTGCCATATCCAAAATTGTCTTTTGGGAAAATAGCTTGCTTTTTTTTTTCAAGCCAGTTAGATTATTTAAGGCAAGGAACAAATCTCAAATCCCAGAAAGCCTTAATTCTGACAATTTCCAACAGCAAGTTTTAAGGGCAAATTATATGATATCCCATCTGAATAAAACTCTGTGGTAAAAGAGCTGCTGAAACATAAACTTGTATTTTTTTCTATACAGTATTGCCCTTCTTATAAAGATTCCTAGTTGCAGCTAGTAACTCTCTGCCTAGTTAGATTTCCAAGTCACACAGATCCATTTTATTTACTGTTGTGATACTCTTGAGAAAAGTGGGTTGATTTCTCTAAACATAGCTACCGGTAGGTTTTGTTTTGCTTTAAATAAAATAGCCATCCTTCAACCATCTCAGTTTTATCATTATTAAGCTTTATAATTACTTTTATTTACTCCCTCAGAATTTGTTTTTAATTTTGAACTAGTCAATAACTGTAACAGAGTTTATTATTACTATGTCACGGCCGCCCTGAGAAATAGATTAAGGCTGAAAATTATTTTGTGAGTTTCATAATAAATAAGGATTTGGAACTTGATCTTCTCATTTCCAGTCCAGCACTCTAAACATTACAATACATTTACTTGGGACAATGGTTTATTTTTTTTAAACTGAAATTGCTGAGTACATATTTACAGGATCCAATCGTATGTAAACCTTTTCTACTACTCACAAAGAATTGATTAAGGAACTGTGATTTGTTTCACATAACACTATAACCTCAAATGAACTTAATGGCTGATAAAGGGCTAAACTGCATGGACAGGATTTTACAATGAGATATTTTACTACAGTAGTAAAATCCATAAAGAAATCTGGGAGAAATAAATTCAATCAGGAAAAAGCCAACTGGGAGGTATGTCTACTCAGATAAGCTTTAAAAACATTAAAGCAGGATTATAATACTAACCCAAAGTGTACTTAAACAATGGCTTATTATATTCCCCAATTAGCTGGTTTGGCTCAACACATTGCACCATAAACTAAATATACTCACTATGCTCATGTACACACTCAGCTACAGACTGAAAAGTAAAATCTTCAGGGTGAATCTGACTCCCAGGAATAAAGAAATTAAATACACAGGGAAATATTTTATCAGCAACATAGAAGTAGTTTGCAACTATATTCTTTGGGGATATTTTTTTGACATCCCAGTTTAGTCTACAGCTATGGTATTCAATGGAAGTCTCCCACTCTAGTACGAGTAGTCTTCAACTTAACAACCATTGGTTTAAAGACCATTCAAAGTTGCAATAACATTGGGAAAAGTGACTTATGACTGGCACTGGCACTTATGACCATTGCAGCATCCCCACCGTTACATGATTTCAGCACTTATCAACCAGCAAGTATTTACTCAGCATCCTGGAGTCATCAGATCATCATTTGTGACCTTTCCAGCCAGCTTCCAAAAAGCAAATCTATGGGGGAAGTTAGATTTACTTAATGATCATGTGATTCACTTAATAATTGCAAGTAATTTGTTTAATAACCATGGCAAAAAAGGTTGTAAAATCAGGTGGACTAATTTTAACAACTGCCATGCTTAGCAATGGAAATTCTGGTGCCAAGTGTGGTCATAAATTGAAGATTACCTGTATTTCCTGTTTGGCAGTTCTCCTTCTGACACATTTTGCTAATTTTTTTTGTTAGTAATACTACTTTTAGTTCTTATAAGCTCTGTTTAAGCTTTCTATCACTGACAGATGAGGCAGTTAAATGATAGCAGCCTCTTTTTAAATTGATTTTGCCAAGCATCAAGATTTTTATTAATTCTTATTTTTTTCATTATATATTCAAAATAGTTAAACTTCAGTTTCATTATTAGAATCTCAAAGGAATAGTTTGATTTTACTTCATCTATGGTACAGCATATTAACAACAATATTCTCAAGCACCACAATTCAAAAACACCATTTTTTTCATTGTTTGACTTGTTTAATTATCCAACTGTAGACATGTTTCAATTGGGATAAACATGGCTTTCAAAACACACATTTGTGGCCGGTGTGATGTCCCACATTTCAAATTTTGCCTAGATATGTCATAGACCCTCTCCCAAGTAGATATTTCCTTGTTACATGATTACAATACCTGCAAATCTTCAAGCTTATGAAGATAAAGTATTTTATTACAGTACCTCAGCTTCTTCTCTGCCTATTTGCATTGGGATGGTACTGACAAACTTTTAGTCTCTTTAATACCAAGTTGCAGACCAATTTTTGCACTTTCTTCTTCAAGAAGAGATTCCTTAAAGCTTATTTTCCAGCCATCAAAATGGTATTGACATCAATGTATCTGAGGTGACTAATTCTTCAAGTAATTTTAATTCAGATTCTATTTGTTCTTATCAAATGTTACTCACAATATATTCTGCATATATTAAATAAATAAGGCAAAAGAATATACTGTTCTTAATTTTGAAGCATTTAATTGCTCCGTACTCCATTCTAAAAAATGAACTGCTACATCAATATTTTTAAGGGTTGTCCATAATTTGTTATAGAATAGAATAACTTTATTGTCACTTTAAATGTACACTAATCAGCACACATTAAAATGAAATTTTACAGTTCTCAAAAGGTCACCACCTCCAATATACACTACATAAATATGACGAACAAAATTGCATATACCCTCATATATTCTATGACACAGAGAAACAACACCATCTATCTAGTTCAGATGTATACATGTACATGGCAAGAAAAACATGTTGTGTTGTGGTCTACATAAGCCCAGTTCAGCTTCTCTTCACAACCCTGAAAAGTTAGTCAGGTGTTGCCATTGTTAGCATCCCACACATCCCTCATATTTTTACCAATCATTGTGAATTTAACAGTTTTCTTATTTGAAGGTTAATAAACTTGAAGGTTATAAACTATTCAACCACCTAAAAATGTATCAACTTCATTTCTTTAAAATTTCATTAGATCCTTATTTATTTTTCCAGGCAAGGAAATAAGAGAGAGCGATCTGCAAGAGCTCTTCTCTGCACATCTTATCACAGCTTGAAGACCTAATTGAATAGATGTGACACCAGAATACATAGTGCTGTGCACACAGTGTGCGAGAGCCACTGACTTATAAAGTAACTAGGTAAAATGGATTCCTACAACAAACACTAGATTGAATATGATAGCCTTCCTGCCTCACTGAATCCCATGAATATTGGCTACTTCTAGAGATTGTTCCTGTGAGAACATGCCCCACAGACAGTCAGATACTCTCTTTTCCAACATTATTACGGCGACCCAAGGAAGAAGTGACAGCGGGAAAGCATTCAAACAGTCTTGACAAGATCAAGCTGGCAATACCACCAAAGGCACAACCTGCCTGAGAAGCACTGGGCAGGACCTTCCTGATGGGCGGGGCTATGCAAAATATGCATTCCGAAAACCCCGCGCTTGATCCCCGGTGTGGGCGTGGCCCTGCCTCGGCGTAGGTAAATCTCCGCGGGGCCGTTCCATACCTGTGAGGCTCATGTAGAGTGGCTGGCGGGAGCGGAAGTGCCGCAGCCCGGCCTCGGAGCAGTTGCGCCTCTCGCAATGAGCCACGCAATCACGGTAGACGGGCTCTCGATCCCCCCGTGAGCCTTGGGAGGGGACTGGACCCACTCCCGCTGCTCCCAGGAGAAAGAGCAGCGCCGTCCGAGCCGCCATCCCGCCTCTGGGGAGCTCTGAAGCTCCACTTCTGGGTTGCGTCGGAAATAATCGTTATCTTCACAAGCGAGGGAAACCACAAAGTTGTGGAAACCCGAGCTGCATTCTCAAAGTTTCCGTGAGGGCAAGGGGTTGTGGGTAATGTAGTTTTCCTTTTATCCGCTCGTTTAACGAAGCGGATAAGAAAGCGTTGGAAACGTTGAATTGAAAAAGACACTCGCCTTTAAAAGCTACAATTTGAGCGGAGGAAAGTTTTCTGAAGACAGTTTTTAATTATTTGGGGCTTATGCTTTGTTTTTGGTAAGCAAAACGGTTTATAAAGCATTACAGTGTGGCTAAATAAATATGTAATTTTTCTAAAATTTTCTAGGTTTTTTTCCCCATCTAATTTATCATTTCAGCAGTAATTAATGCAGAGAAATTGGCTGGGAGGAAAATATCGATTTAGTGAAAACATTTTGAAACCCTTAGTCTGAACCAGGCAGATGTAGGTGTTAATTAAGAAAGACTTGCACTTGTAGATGCTGCTACAGTTATTGCACTTCTGTCTGCCATGAAACCTGTCATTTCAGATATTGGAGATGCTCCTCTTAATAATTGATTGGAAGTTAGATGTATGTGTTATCTCACTCACCTAAAGAATAAATATTACTGCTGGCTTAGTTGTTGAACATTTTAATTAGTGCAATATAGAATTACAGGGACACACTATAGGTACAATGGTGCTAGTTTTAAAATGTATCCTCAATTCTGTTTGCAAAATCTTAGAAGACAGGCATGCTTTCTTGCCTTCAATGTTTGTATGATAAATAAATAGAAATGCAAGAGATCCATTTCCCATCAGTACATCTGTAAGTAAGGAGATGCTGCTATAGTTATTACATTTCTGTCTGCCATGAAGCCAGTCGCTGTGTAGGAATCCTACCAATATTTGATTAAAGGGATAAAACTATTAAGCTCACCTGCTCTACTCTTCCTTTTTAGTTCCAAAACAGCCTTTCTGAATCGGTTCCCCACTCAATGAAGTGATCAACTTCTTGCTCTATAGGTAAGATTGATAAGAAGAACTAGGTAGCAAAAAAAAATGCATCTGAGAATTGTAACTGAATTTAAAGATCAGAGGTCCCTGTTATCTCTCAGAGCTGGTTCTAACACTACAGGCCTGGCAAATTATGACGGGAATAGTTTAGCACTTCACTTCAGCAGCAGAAGTGTTGTGTATTGACCCTTTTGATAATGGCAGTTATAAAGCAGTTAAGTGATTATGTTTAAACTAGTCTCTAACCGTTTGTGTATTGTTACAAGCTGCACTTTAGGTGGCAAATAATGCTTTAAATTCATTGGTTACCACCTAGTGGCAGTACGGTATAACTAGAAGCCAAGCGGCTGTTAGAGTTGCTTCTGTGTTGATTCAAATAAAGAACTGTTATTTTCACTCCTGTCTCTTCAATGCCTCATCGATCCCGGTATACAACAGTGGCGACGAAGGTGGGATATGCTGCTAAGGAAGAAAGAACCAGAAGTCACTAAGGGGTAAGACCAGGCATCAGCGCCCTGGTAGAACCGCGTTCCCCCCTTCTGCCTGCCAGCAAGCCACACTGGAGGCATCATTATCCTGAGGGATCGGTCCCCACGATTTGTATAGAAGCCCTTAGCAGCATAAGGCATTGAATAGACTCAGCGACAGTCAGCTATGGCCAAGGTTGGCAAGCTATCAGAATTTGACGTTTTGCACCCAGAGCAATGGAGCTCTTATGTCTCCAGGGTGGAAAATTACCTGAGAGCAAACCAGGTGAGGGAAGACAGACTAAAGGCTGCTACCTTTTTATGCATATGTGGTTAGGCAAGTTTTGACATAGCAGAAAATCTAATCGCTCCAGCCAGCTTGGAATCAGTTACTTACACTGATTTGAAGAGAAGGCTTAAAGAACACTTTGAATCGAGACTGTCCATCATTCTATGGAGACACATGTTTGAGCAGAGAGAACAGCAGCCCGGAGAGTCAGCTGCTGAATTTATGGCTGCTCTGAGACAGGCGTCCAAACTGTGCAAATTTCCAGATTTAGAGGATCAGCTCAGGGACAGATTGCTATGTGGCCTAAGAAGCAGAGACTTACAGCAGAGGCTGTTTGCAAAGGAGACCTTGACGTTCCAGGACGCATTGAAAAAAGTGATGGCAGAAGAGGCCACCAGGGGAGCAGTCAAGGCTTTATGACCCTCAAAGAATTCCCCCAGCCTAACAGCTGTTCATCAGAAAGATACAGAGAGAACAGAAACCCGGACGAGGATGTTGAGATCAGCCGGGTGCAGAAGCTACCAAGAAGAAAGCAGAGGCCAATTGACAAGGCAGCTTTCTTTCCTAGCTGTGCTGGCTGCAGAGAACAGCACCAGTGATCAGAGTGCAGGTTCTGCTTGGCCGTGTGCCGAGCCTATGACAAATGGGCACATCGCCATCATCTGTAAAGATTACCAGAGGGAATCTCCACCCGAAGACTTCCCCAGGAGAGGTAAATGGCCCTGGGGCAAAACAGAGTAGGTTATTGCTCTGGAAGGAGGAACATTTTTAGAACGGGAGCTCATCGCTCCCTCAAAGAAAAGCTAAGACTCAGGGTCAGGCTACAAGGAGTTCCATGCTTAATGGAACCGGACACCGGGTCAGCTCTGACCATAATCTCCTACAAAACTTTCAATTACATCTGCAGACATAGCGGGAAATGAGTCAAACTCAAGCCGTCAAATCTAGGTTGACAGAGTTTCAAAATTCCCATGTAGTGGTTAAAGGCGAAGCTACGTTAATAGTAAAATTCAAAGAGTTTGAGGGTTCCCTCAACATTGTTGTAGTCGAAGGCCAGCGCACAAGCCTGATCAGCCTGGACTGGTTTGATGCCCTGGGCATCCATGTGACTGGCATCAACAGAACTCAAACAGCTGATTTGGCAGCTGTCTGCCAGGAATTTGCTGATGTATTCAGCCCCATCTTAGGCAAATACAAAGGAGCACCAATTGCCCTCCACCTTGATCCAACCGTAACCCCAATCAGGATCAAGCCTCGCAGAGTGCTTTTTGCCTTAAAACCTAAAATAGATGCAGAGTTAGACAAGCTCGTTCAGCAGGGAGTGTTGCAACCGGTTGATAGCAGTGTGTGGGAAACCCCCATAGTCACACCAGTTAAGCCTAATGGAGAGGTGCACATCTGCACTGATTATAAGTGCACCATTATTAATAAAGCACTTCGGCAGCATGCGTACCTGGTCCCCATAGTTAGCCACATCCTGGCATCACTATAGGGAGGTCTCCAGCTGGACCTGGCACAGGCATATCAGCAACTGCTTGTGGATGATGCCACTGCAGAGGCACAAACTATAGTTATGCATAGAGGGGCATTCAGAGTTCATCGCCTGCAGTTTGTGGTGAGTGTCGCCCAGGTCTATTTCAAAGTATAATGGAATACACACTCAAAAATATTGCTGGAGTGTGTCCTTACTTTGATGATGTTTTTGCTGGAGAGTCAGCTGAAATGTTAGCAGAATGTTTCAGAGCAGTTCTCCAACGCTTCCGTGAAGCAGGGTTTAAGCTTAAAAGAGAAAAATGCCAGATAGGTGTGAACTCTACTGAGTTCCTTGGATTCCGGATAGATGCTGCCGAAATCCACCCCGCTGACTCAAAGCTTAAGGCTACATTGCAGGCTCCCAGACCTAAGTCAAAGGGGGAGCTGCAAGCATTTTTAGGGTTACTTAACTTCTACCATGCATTTCTTCCTCATAAGGCAGCATTAGCAGAGCCTCTGCATAGGCTCTTAGATAAAAGGGCATCATGGGTGAGGACTACCATCCATGAAAAAAGTTTCAAATCAGTCAAATCACTGCTGTCATCAGACTCAGTGTTAACACATTTCAATGAAAAACTGCCTATCAGTATTGCATGTGATGCTTCATCGTATGGGATAGGAGCGGTTTTGAGTCATATAATGGCAAATGGGCAACAAGCACCCATAGCATATTATTCAAGGACACTTTCCCCTGCAGAAAGAAATTACGCACAAATTGACAAGGAGGTATTAGCTATAGTAGCTGGAATAAAAAAAATTCCACGATTTCCTTTATGGTCGCCCATTTATGGTCTTTACAGAGCACAAGCCTCTTCTAGGTCTGTTTACTGCAGACAAGCAAATCTCTCAGATCCTTTCTTCTAGGATGCTGAGGTGGTTAATTTTTATGGCAGCCTACAATTACAGGCTAGTCCATAAACCTGGCAAGGAAATGGGCCACAGTGATGCGCTCAGAAAACTGTCCTTGCCTAAATCAGAGCCAGACTCTCTACCTGCTGCACGTATCCTGGCAATCCAGGATCTGCCAGAATCTCCCCTTCACGCTGGGGATGTGGCTGCTGAAACTGGCATCATCGGCTGGCAGACTTTTTGCTCTGCCAACACACAACTCCGTGCTCTTCAATGGGCTGCAGCTCAGTGGAACTGAGATGCGGACGTCGGCTGACCACGAAGCTGGACAGTCTCCATCCAGACTGGGCAGCTGCGGAAATAGCACAACCCAAGCCCCTGTGGAATCTGCAAATAGGTGACAAAGTTTGGGTGAGGAACTACAGTCAAGGGGCACTGTGGGTGGTAGTTGTAGTTTGTAAGGTATCAGGGCCACTGTCATATGAGGTGGCCCTGGAAGATGGTCGTGTGGTTTGGCGCCACATCGACCAGTTGGCAGGCTAATCAAACCCTGACCGCTGACAGTGAGGAGAACTGGGGGGTGCCAGGTGATTGCAAAATACCTGAGTCCCCTGATTTTTGTAAGACTCGCAGGCAAAGGCAAGGTGAGTTAGCCACGTCTGAGTCACCGCAGACGTCAGAGACTATGTCAACAGAAAGGGATTTGTTGACGGACTTGTTTCCCAGACTGTCAGTGGGTGATGTGAGCACCTGTCTACGCAGCCAGGATATTCCGAGAGGCACTGGTCTACCCAGCCAGAATGTCCAGGAAGGCACCAGTCTACCCGAGGCGAGTGGCTGTAGGAACCCTGGTCTACCCGGCTCATCGAAAGGGCTTGTAGACCAGGAGCCTCCAATGGCGCTATGATGATCGGAGCAGGTGCAAAACCTG